TGTGGTGCTGAGGAATCGAACCCAGGGCCTCATGCATGCAAGGCAAGCGCTCTACCTCTGAGCCACCTTCCCAGCCCTCCTGTGTTAATTTTTGTATATTCCCTCCCCTCCCAAAACTCCAAACCCAACTCCCCCTTCAAGACAAAAAGGAAATTGTGACTAGGGGTAAAGAAAGTGGGGAGGAGGAAAGGCAAACATTAAGCTACATGACTTCAGGGCTTTGATGAGATTGGGTGGGTGGGTGCTGGTGCTCCTGCAGAGAAATGGGACAGCAGAATTAAAGCAAGCATTCTATTCCCAAGAGTCTTCCTTAATCCCCCCCCCCCCATAAATACTACCTCACTTTCATCTCAGTGTAGAATCATGCTAGTGGTTTGACAGCTCCAGGTTAGGAGCTCAGTAAATTTATTTATTTACTTATTCAGTTATTTAGTCGTGAGGCTCAAGGCTAGTGCTCCACCACTTTGAACCACAGCTCCATTGCTGGTTTTTTTGAGTGGTTAATCGGAGGTGAGAGTCTTACAGGAACTTTTTTGCCCCCGTTGGCTTTGAACCGGGATCCTCAGATCTCAGCCCACCTGAATAGGTAGGATTACAGGCATGAGCCACCAGTGCCTGGCATGATTTTTTTTTTTTTTTGGTCCATCATGGGACTTGAACTCTGGGCCTGAAGTCTGTCCCTCAGCTCTTCAGTTCAAGGCAAGCACTCTACCTCTTGAGCCACAGTGCCACTTCTGATTTTTTGGTGGTTAACTGGAGGTAAGAGTCTCATGGACTTTCCAGCCTGGGCTGGCTCTGAACAATGATCTTCAGATCTCAGCCTCCTGAGTAGCTAGGATTACAGGCGTGAGCCTTGGGTGCCTGGCGATTATGTTGTTCATTCTTCCTTTTCCTCTCCTATTCTTCTTTCTCCTCCTTCCTTCTCCTTCTTCTTTCTTTGGTTCTTGGGCTTGAACTCAAGAATGTATAAAGCCGTGCATGGGTGTCTCATACCTCAGGAGGCTGAGATCTGAGAATCGTGGTTTAAAGTCAGCTCCCGAAGGAAAGTCCCTGAGACTCTTACCTCCAATTAATCACCAGAAAACTGGAAGTAGGAGCTGTGGCTCAAGTGGTAGAGCACTCACCTTGAGCCTCAAGGATAGTGGCCAGGTCTGAGTTCAGAGTTCTGAGTTCAGTTGGTCCATAACCAACCCCCTGGGGAAAAAATTCAAAGAAATTCCTTGAGAATTTCTAATTCAAATGTGAACTTTAGTAAAACCAGCCCAGCTCTGAGGGGGCAAAAAAGCAGAGCCAAGGAATCCCATCAAAAGTTATTGCCGTTGTCACAGTGACAGATGCTAAGAGGTGACAAATAGTCCTTGATAAAATAGAGCCTAGGAAGAAAAAAAAATTTTTTTTTCTTGATCCTACCAGGCATGGCAAGCCATTAACTCCGGCAGGTGAAGAAACGTGCTACTCTGAAGGCTGAGATCTAAGGATCTCGATTCAAAGTCAGCCCAGGCAAGAAAGTTCCTGAGCTACTCTCCAATGAAGCACCAAAAGAGCCTGAAGTGAGTCGGTGGCTCAAGTGCTACAGTGAGAGGCTTGAGTACATAAAGCTCAGGGACAGCGCCCAGACCCAGAGTTCAAGCCTCAGGACCGACATCAAAACAAAACAAACAAAAAAACAGAGCCAAAGCCAGGCGCCAGTGGCTCACACCTGTAATCCTAGTACTCAGGAGGCTGAGATCTGAGGATCGCGGTTCAAAGGCAGCCCAGGCAGGAAAGTCCGTGAGATTCTTATCTCTAATAAACCACTAGAAAACACACCACACACAGACACAGACACACAGACAGACAGACAGACAGACACAGACACAGACAGACA